GAAAGCTAATAGAGATCCCTCCCAAAATGTTGCTTTATGGTTTAAGCTGTGCTGCTAATGACTTGGAGAGGATCTGCAATGAGGAGTGGGTCAAAATCCCCCCCTGAGATGTTTGCAAACCTTGTGGCCAACTACAAGAAACAACTGACCTCTGTGATTGCCAACAAAGGTTTTGCCACAAAGTACTAAAGCAAGTTTTGCAAAGGGATCAAATACTTATTTCATTCATGAAAATGCAAGTTAATGTCTCATCTGACCACAACACTTTCACCCAGTCTTCCTCTGAATCAGTCAGATGTTCAGTGGCAAACTTCAAAAGGGCCTGTAGATGTGCTTTCTTGAGCAGGGGGACCTTGCGAGAACAGCAGGATTTCAGTCCTTCACGGCGTAGTGTGTTACCAACTGTTTTTTTGGTGACTATGGTCGCAGCTGCCTTGAGATCATTGAGGTAATGAGCTGAGAGGGCTCCCAATGTCAGCTCGTTACCTGTATAAAATACACCTGGGAACCAGAGATCTTGCTGACTGATAGGGGATCAAATACTTATTTCATTCATGAAAATGTAAATTAATGTATAACTTCTTTTGTAATGCATCTTTCTGGATTTTTTTGTTATTGTTGTGTCTCTCACTGTTCACATAAACCTACCATTGGCATTGTAGACTGATCATTTCTTTGTTAGTGGACAAACTTGCAAAATCAGCTGGGGTTCAAATAATTTTTTCTCTGACTGTATGTTTTCTCATTGTTTTAAACTCTTTTTTAATATTATTAAAAACAGTCTTAAACATTATTTTAAGTTATCTGGCCTGTTGGCAGATGAACAAAATGGAGTTGTAGTGGTTGTATAAATTCCCTGTCCACAATTATTTGTTCAAGAACAATAGGATGTTTGCTGTTTTACAGATTTCCAGAAGACTTTTGAAAATGTTAATTTACTTTTTTTAATCTTAAAAGCCGGTATTGATGGGAGATTTTATAACACTGAAAGCTCTTTATCAAGCTCCAGATGCATGTGTGCAAACTGACTTTGAATGCCTTCTGCTGTGAAACAAGGAAATGTGCTTTTTCCTACACATTTATATATGGTAATTGAGCTCATACAGGCAGGCCTAGGGGTCAGGCTTTCTGTTGGGACCTTTTTATGCAGATGATGTAATTCTGCTAGCAGAGACTGAACAGGATCTTCAGTGTGTTACACACTCTATAGGGTTGGTGTGTTAAATGGCAGCTGAAGACTGGTTATACATTTTAAGAAAACTGTATATCTATGACTGAGTTTGCATTTTGGATTGGATTAGTTCCTTTGTCACTACAGGGACTTAGGAATATTTAGAGTTTACCTCATATGATGACCTCATTTATAAAACAGCAATCAGGATCCTGTTGGACTCTGGGACCTGTTTCAAATAAAGTGAATCTTTCTAAAGACCCTGGGTACAATGCTATAAATAAGTCTGTTGGGCACCTGTAGGTGTATGACATTTAAATAAAAATATTAATTCATTCATTGTGAGTAGTTTAGATGACAGAAGTTCATTGTGCAGTATTTCTTGCTAGGAAACACTTTCCTCTACTTTCACTGTCGTCATTATGTGTTAAGGGATGGTTTTTTTTTGTTCCTTTGTATGGGTAACATCATCAGGCTAGCTAACCAGCCTGCACAAAACAATGACTAATACCATCACAAACGTTTTTATGAAAAAGCTGTTTGTAGATTTGAGTTCTTGAGAAAATGACTTAATGATTAACACAAAATGCTAGTCTGTTTAGTTTAGTTTATACTGCCATAGAAACAAAAGGTAATTTTCAAAACATTGCAGGAGTCATGTTAACAGTCTCTTATGTTTCTGCTTAGTTTTGAAAGCTGTTGATTTCAGATGACAAAATGAAATAGGCACTACTAGGTTTGCTTTAAATATTTACATGTAGCAAGACATGGGGCTCAGTTATGACAAATGTCCAATGGATATGAGACATAAGCTAATGTAATTATTGTTACACATGCTAACATATGTTCATGAAATACAAGATGTTTGTTAAAGGAATCAAGATGAAATCCTTTATTTCTATAAATTGCTGTAAGTAAACTCTGTCTAAAAACAAAGTACTTATTTTGTACATATATGCACCCAGTCATCAATATGAGATTTAATATCTATAGAGAGTAACAGATATTTGGTTCATTGTGGAGCTTTTCATACTGTGTTCCAACAAGCTGTCAGTAGCTGCTTGTAATCTGTGTTTATGGGTGCGTGGGTGGGGATGGAACAAAGGGAGCACACTGCTTTGCAGAGACTGGAGGCTGGGCCCCACAACTAATTTCTTGAATAGTATGCAAATGATGGGGTGTAAGGTTAGAAAAAGTGCCAGCTTTGGTTAAGGTTACGGTAAGGGCTAGGTTTAGGCAAGTAGTGGTTCTGGTTAAGGCTAGGGCATCTTTCCTGCAAATGAATGTAAGTCTATGTATGGACCCTGTAAGTGATGACCGCAAGAAATGAGTGTGTGTGTGTGTGTGTGTGTGTGTGTGTGTGTGTGTGTGTGTAAGAACAAGGGGTGGAGGGAAAAAAAGGTGTGGTGTCATTAACCGGCTTGTCGCCACCTGCCATAATCACAGATGGGTAGCACTGAGCCATACCTGAGCACATTTATTTGTGCCTCCTGACACCGGAGGTTAAACCAATGAAAAGACTCACAGTTGACCTGAAATCAAGATGAGCATTTGTGCAATATTCCCATGGTGGTGAATCTCACACATACTGCACACGCACACACACACACAAACTTTGAGAACTTGTCTCCACCTTTGATTTATTTGCTCTCATTCCACTTCTCTGTTTCCACTGAAGGTATATCTCACCTTCACCTATTAGTCAGCAATGTATCCTACTTCTGTTCTTTCTGCTGCACAGGCTCTGCTATGATTCATATTTATCTTTATTCTCCAGATAAATAATTCATATTTGGCAGTAGAGTACATGAGAATGGCCTTGTTATCTGTTGTGTGTTCCAGTATCACAAGGTATGGGCTTTCTAAAAACAATATCCAGAGCACTGAGTCACCATTATTTCTATGCATTTGATACATATACCAGTGTGTATCATTATGAACCACAATATTGAAAACAGCTATTGCTACACAATAAGTCATGATAGTCTGCACTCCAATATTATTAAACCACAGTTAACAGCGTTAACTGTGCTAAAGACTGTGCAGACACATTTTGTAATTCATCAACCCAGAATAAATTAGAAGCAGACAAATAAAGGTGTTGTTGTTTTAAGTCCTAATTTTTTTGCACTGTACATTTAATAACAGACTATTGTTGGCAGTTTTCCAGCAAAATTCATAATATGTCTTAATACAGATTTTTCTGTAGCAAATTTCTGTCTGCTTGGGTTTAAAAGTTTATCACTTGATTCCTCTGGCCCCTCGTCTAACCATAATGTAACAGACATGACTCCAAAGTCTAATGTCTGAGGTGTTTATTCCTTGGCAGAGGCAGAAATACATCACAAGGGCATGGTTATATCTCTGCTCTATTGAGGACTTAAGATATTTAGGGCTGAGGAACAGTAGCATTACAGCTATCACAGACACACACCGGAGACCCTCTTGTAGTAGAGCTGTTACCTCAGCTACAACACAAGTATCCACACAGTGTCATGTTCCTCCCCTGGCTTCCTACTAGAGACTGTTATTTTGAAAGGAACTCCCTGGTTTTCTCCATCTCACTCTCTCTAGCTTTGCTACTGCCAATCAGTGGCTGATTTTGATCACCTGGCAAATCCCACTCACCTGGTACTCATTGTTGTCACCCCATATATACTGCTTTGCTGCTCCTCTTTAGTAGCTGGGTTGTTGCCAGTGTGATGTCTTGTCCTCTGGCTGTTGTCTGTTATGTCACCTGCTTGCCTTTAACCCTTGTTTGTAAGGGCTTTGCTGCAGTGTTCCTGAGCCTGTACTGAGCCTGCCTGTCACCGACCTGGTTTCTGTTGCTTTTTCTTTGTTCTGTTCCTTTTGTGTTTCTGTTGTACCACCTTGTGTTTTTCTGAGCGCAGTTGCTTTTTTCTTCTATATTAGAAAATACATATTGAGGAATTTGACTGGTCAGTTTCCCTCTAAATACTGGGATGAATTGTTGTTCATCCAGGGTAGCAGTTCCTGGCCTTCCTTGGTTTACTCCTCTCAATAGTTTTGTTTTCTAGGCAGTTGTTCTCACTGGGTCGTCCTCGGCTCCCCTAAGCGTCCCTCCGCTACCTGTGCTCTCCTCCACCATTACCCATAATCACTGGCACAAACCTTACCTGTGACTCCACCTTTGCTTGTCTCCAGTGTCATACTTGTCCCCTGTTGCCTACAGCAACATTGCTCAGGGTGTGTCTGGTTCTGGAAGCTAAGCTGTGCTTGGACTGGTCAAAAGTTGGATGGGACACTGTCTGGGAACACCAAAAGCTGTGGGTTTGAGCTACCTCTGTTGGGTGATCTGTAATCCATCTCATCTGATCAGTTTCACTTGTCCATCAAACTGTTATTGTATTAAAACCTTTAAACTGTTGTCTTCTTTGTCATGCATCTGGGTCGACCACTCAAACCATTATCTGACACACAGGTGACTCTCTCAAAGTTGGTAAACATGGTTGTACTGTCAGAGCTCCACTATGCGCCATCTTTTCTTCAAGAAAATGTCTCTTTGACTCTGTCCTTGCTACACTGTGCAATGGTCTAGCCCAGTCTTTCATGAAAATGTACTGTAGCTACATTGGTCCACAGTGTAAAATGTAGTGGTGTCACAATAACGACTATAAAATTGTGACATCCCAGTTTTCTGTGTTGCTGCCCAGTGCCCTTCTTAGTGTTCTTCCTGGTGTTTTATGGCGGCTGGCAAACAAAACGGTGCATTACCGCCACCAACGAGATGAGACTGCAGATTGGGAAACTAACATTTAGTGTTCATTGGAGGTGTACGGTTTTGAGCTATAAAAAGTTAAAAATGCTAGGAAAGTGGTAGCTGAGACAGAAGGACATGTCCAACAAACACCTGACCTTTACGCAGGCAACCCAGAGATGAGTCCTGTGGTTGGTTGTACTCATTTAACCAGGCCCATAAACCTAAACCACTGTCTTTCATTTTCACTGCCAGAAAAATGTTGCAATGTCATAGTTTTGGAGGCATTATAACCTAAACCACTGTCTTTCATTTTCACAGCCAGAAAAATGTTGCAATGTCACATTTTTGGAGGCATTACTTTGAGACTAGTACATTTTGTGTTGCAGACCAATGTAGCTTTTACACATTTTGATGTGAGACTTGGTTGAGTGGTCAGTTCTTCTGCTGTCCCCTGACAATGCACATTATGCTTCAAGGCCACACCCCCATAGTCGTTGCTCCATCTCTCCTCTGTTGTATTTCTTTGTACTGTGTTCCTTGTATTTCCCTCTGCCCCCTGGACTGTGACCCACCACAGAACATAAAAAGACTACCTCTGCTGTTTTTCACTAACTCAATGCATTCCCCCTTTTGTTATATTACATGTAAATCTGCTGCTGACTGTTTTTATTTCACTGTCATATCTGCTGCTGTTGGTCATTTGCACTGCTGTCCATGTGCATCTCATACGATAACCATCTGACAATCTTCTTATTATTTGCTCTACTGTCACTGATTGTACATGGTTTGAGCCACAGCCTATTGGGTTGTACCATTTAGTTTTATCCTAATTAATTTAGTTTTTTATTTTTACTCTACTTTTATTCTATTTTAATTTCTTAAATGGTATGGCATTCAATACTAGGTGAGAGAGAAATGGTATTTTCTGTATGTCCTGCACATATTGACAACTGACAATAAAAATCCTTGATTTCTTAAATATGCTGGGAGAGAAGCTTGAGAATGAAATAACCCTTAAATACACTTGCTATTACTGTGTGCACTCAGCCACTAAGATCTACATCCCCCACTGCTGTGAAAAGGAAAAGCTTGTCCATCTATTGCATGACGACTAGGAAGAGAGAACACAGAGCAAAAGCCACCTCCATCATCTTCATCAAGGTATCCCTAACCACATGTTGAGAGGAGAGAAATTCTTTAAACTTGCTCAAGTGGAGGTGTACATTCAACTTAAGGCAGGGCATAAACGACATTAAAAAACCTCAATGTTCCCCAGTAATCCAATCCCATCACACCAGTCCCTAAATCTTTGTCAAGGAAATGCAATTGTTATAATGTGTTTATTGAAACTTGGGCAAGGTTTTATTTCATCATGCCGTGCTCTAACAGCACTGGCAGTAGATGAGAAAAACACACAATCTTTCATCACCCCATCATCCTTGGGAAATCCAATTTATTGCTTTTCCTCTCGTCCCGGTGCGCACCACACATGATTGCTGCATGGTACAGCTTAGAACACGAAGAAGACTCTATGTTAATGTGTGCTGCATGTTTTTCCCCCTTTCTATGTTGTATTGTGTCATCTGTTGTGTCTGTATTGTGAGAGGTTTCTTTATTACATCACAAGTGAAGGAAGTCTTTTCTTCTGACAGAAAATGACATATTGATGTTCAAAAGCATAAGTATAATGCTAAATAAATGCTACAGAGAGTGAGACAAATGTTTTTCATTTTTACAGCACATGCTCAGTGGAGAAAAGACACATGAGAAATGAATACTGGAATTGAAGGAATACAAATCTACATTGCCACAATAGCCAGTTTGTCTTCCGATAACCAGTGTTGCTTTGTTATAATGAATGATCACACTGAAATTATGGTTCACATCCCCCAATTCTTAACATTTCATTTTGTGAAGAGGAGCATCGACCAAGCTGATTAGTTGATCTAGCTCCAATCACGAGACAGGTTTCAGACAGAAATGAAACAATGTAAATATTTTAAAGAAACAGTGATGTGAAATCTTCAAATGACCCCCATGCATGTTAGTAATTACTCTTATGCTTTCTTATGTGGGCCTGTTCCTTTGTACTTTATTGAATGGCCTTTGAGTTATAACCAAATATATTTTTATTGCCCCCAACTTTCAATAACACACACACAGTCACACCTAAGCTACAATATCTGCCATACATATTACAGTATTTGAGTGGGTGACTGCTCCAAGTGTGGGGCTCATGGTGTCTTCAGTGAAGACCTAAGTGATTGAAAATGGCCTGGGTCATAGTTGAGTGTGTATTTGTTTGTATGTTTGTAGATGTGACATACACAAAGATTGTGTATCTGAAGACAAGAGCTTGAATGTGTGTTGGTTAACTCTGTGGGCCATAAAATGCATGGAACTACGGAGACAAACTACTTGGCATCAGTAGCCACCACATTCTGAAAAGTAGTCATTACTTGTGTTTGTACAGTATGCGTGTGGTTATATTAATGTAATGTCGACTGCTCCCTGCTCCTCCACCTGCCAACCTGGCATCATTCCACCCCCGTCTCCTCTTTCACTCATAAAGTTTACCAGATGTTATAGATTAGTCAGCATTTCACTTCGGCTCTAGTCTCAAGTCAAATGCCATCACCCTGAGCCACCCCTAGGTAACCATAAAGGCTTGAGGTTTGCAGATGGGAAACCTTATTGGTTATAAACCAGAGAGGCTCTAATCCAGCTGTGTTTTAAGCCATTATTGGGATGTAGCCTAAGGAATTTTACTCCAACATGTCAGCTCTGCAGCAGTTCTGCTCAGTGCTTCATGATTTGGCTGACAATATGTTGAAGGCAAACTGTACCAGTTGGCAACTCTGTTCATCAGGGGACTGACAGCTGTGTGTGAGTGACAACTCTGACCTGACATTGTATGTAAGGTGTTCCTATAACAAAATAATTCACATCTGTAAATTGTAAAAGTAGGCATCTATTTTCTTAGCTATGAACGTTTAAAATTTATATTTTAAATCTGTTTCAGATGTCCTAAAGCTCAGACACTCTGGCTTTAGCTGGAGTTCTCCAAATAAGCCTAGCACTTCATTTTGCAGCTCCTGTCGTCTCCTCTTCACTCCCCTCAACTCACCTCCCAGCATCTATCCTGTTTGCTGAAGCTCTCCCCACTGCCCCAGTCACCTTTCTCATCATCTCTGCACTGCCGTGCCCTTTATTCATTTATTATTATTTTTGTCTAGCTTTTTTTCTTTCTGTAACCTTCTCAATTTGCACTTCCATGTATCCTTAATCTTTAAAAGTTCTTCCTTCTAAGCAATCTCAGCAAGTTAAAACTCAAAAAAAGAGAAAATGATCAAAACAACCAGGATAAAATTATCAACAAAAGTGAAAAATTCCCTAGCCAACCAGTCACGATTAACCACCTGCTCTCCCCCTCTTCACCCTTGTCCTCTACTCCTCCCCGCTTTTCCTCCTAGCCCTTGCTCTTCTATCTATCGCTCTCTCCCTCCCACTTTCCTCCCTCCTTCTTTTCTCTAACTCCCCTCTGCTTTAGATATTTAGCTCCAGGTGGAACAGCGAGCCGACCCTTATGTTGCTTCTGTCTGTGAAGCTTTTGTCCTCTTTCTTGTAAGTGTGTGTGTGTGTGTGTGTGTGTGTGTGTGTGTGTGTGTGTGTGTGCTGTACATTGCATGTTCCAGAGAGAGAGGGGAAAAAACATGGGGGTTGGTTGTTGTAGGTGTGTTTGTGTGTGTATTTGTGTGTGTCTGAACTTGTGTTTGTGTTAGTCTTCCTCCTTTGCTTTTCATCTGTTCCCTACAGTACCGTGCATTCATAGCCCTGCAGTGATTTTGTTAGCAGGTGAGAATAGTTTATGTTAGCATTAGCTGCGTTAGCCTAGCCATCTAGCCTATCCTAGACCCCACCCCTCACCCCCTCCGTGAGTTTCTGTCTCAGTGAGAGCCAGGGATTTCTCATCATTTAGGGACGGCCTCAGTTGAGCACGTATACACACACAGACACATTGAGGGACCTGAGGGAGGGCCAGTAACTGAGCCACCAGCCAAGGGAGCTGGACCAATTACATTGTTAGGATAAATGTACCACCGGCTAGGCATGGATTGTGGTACTTAATAGCTGGCGTGAAAAAAAAAAAACTAGCCCTTCCTCCTTTCCCTTGATTTCTCTTCTCTCCCGTTTGGGTGTTTTTAAATGGAGGGGAATTTAAAAACAGATTTATGGGTCAGTTAAATATAGTAGGCAAAACTGATTCCCTAACCAGCCACCCCCCTCCTCTGTTACTCCCTCCCTTCCTTGTATAAGTACCCCCCCACCACCACCACCACACTTTTTGTCTACTTTTCCCTCCCTTTGGTCTTTTATAAAATGATATA